GCCTGGGGTTTGGATGTACTGGATCTCTCTAAGTCAGGTGGTTCGGGGACCACTCCGCTAATGAGACTGAATGAAGAAAACCAGGTGCTGTGGGCTGGCGAGAACACGCCCCATCTGAATGGACCCCTGCTATGCAGCTGTGGGCAAACATGTGGGCCATGTCAGCCTGTGGGCCGCTGTGGCTAGAACTTCCGGATTTTTCAAGAGAGATCTGAAATCTGCATTTGTCTTTGACAGCTCACTTTTTACAAAAATATTGGCAACTACATTTTTAATATGTGAAAACAGAGTGGTCCAAAGAAAGTACAGCTGTGGGTTGTATCCGCACTTTGGGTGCAATTTTTGTTCTCTGGAATACTTGTCAGGACTACTGGTTTCGGCCCCAGCTCTGTACCTCACGCTCCACCTTTCAGTGACCTGTTTTTTTTTTTTTTTTTCCTTTGTCTTTTTCCTAGAATGGCAGCAACCTGACAATTGGGACTGTGTCTTGTCTTCCATCTAGTCTCTGTCCCACTAGGACCAAACACATGCTGAATGAACACCTGTGCATTTAATTGATTTAAAACCCAGGGCTTGGATATGGAAGCACTGAGTCAGCCAGGCTTTCATTGGCTCTGGAAGGGTCATCCCAGCCAATCCTTACTTTGCCTGTGACTGGGTCTGCCAGGTGGGAGAGTCATCCAAGACTCTCATGCTTCCCCGACCACCCCTTGCCAGCTTAGATCACCTTATTGTCTCGTGACCCTGAGCCTTTGCAAATGCTATTCTTTTTGCTGGAAACACCCTTCCAGCATATTTTGTTTGCTTAGCCAACTCCTACACATTTTTCAGAAATCAGCTTAGGCATAACCTCCTTTTAGACACTTTTACATGTCCTACCAGACAAAATTAATCCAGGCTTCTACTACAAAAAATACCACTCTGCCTTGTTATTGAAGAATCTTTAATTCTTCACCCCTCTACTAGATAGTGAGTTCCTTGAGGGCAGTGACGCATGTCTGAATAAATAAGCCAAGTATTGTCCTCAAATTGAGTGTGATTTCAGTCACTGGCCCCTGCATGGGTCCTTTGGGGGAACTGAAGCCTGAAGTGCAAACACCTGGGATTTTGTTGCCTCCAAAAGCCATGTCAGACCCAAGCAGGGGAGCTCTGGGGAACCTGAGTTGGAGGGCAAACAGATGTGCCCTTCGAGGACATGGGAATGCACCGTTCACATCATCAAGAACAGTCCTGCCTCTGTCCACAACGTGTCTGTTGAGTCCTGCAGGGCACCAGCTCAGGTAGGAGTTCAACCAGTAATTCTTCACTGAGCAAGTAAAGATAAAGCGATAAAAATGTGTGATGAAGTATAGAAAACTAATGTCTTATATAACTTGTTTTTATGAAACTCTCTTTAGGGTGGTTTGCTTGCTAACATAGCATGGTTCTCTTTCTCCTCCAGCTCAGAGTTGAGACCTTCTGAACAAACTGGGGTGGTCACCTGGACCTTGCAGGAGCCACCACATCCCAGGATTTTGTGTATGTAGATAGAGGGAAGTAGTCTTCCTTCCGTGTAAGCTGCCGGAACAGTGGCTTTCACATGATGCTCCATCCATGACTCCCTCTGGCCTCATTGCTGCTACCACTTTTACTCCAATGTCCCTTTCCACCCACAGGGCTCCCCCGATGAGCCAGGTTCGGTCAGATGTAGGGTGATGAGGCCACAGTGCCTTGAGGCTTCTCAGGATGGAGACCATACTCAGTCACCTGGATTCCCCCAGTGCCCAGTGGAGTTCTTGGCTTATTGCTTGTGCTCAATGAGCACTTACCAAAATAAACCAAATTGCTACTAAAATTAAACAACAAATAGGGAAATAGTTTTCCCTATCCTCCCCCACCCCGGTTTTGCCTAATGAGTGAAAACAATGGCTTACACTTCTTGCACCAATTTTCTGCTTACCCTTCAAACCGGTTTTTACTGAGATTAGACACAAAAGGCATACAGAATGCAAACAAAGCAAATCAAAATTAATGAGAAAACTTGGGAAACCCGCTTAGGCTTAATTTGGCCATTTCTGTTATAATTCATTATATTTCATAGCCTGCAAATTAACTATATTTAAGTTTTACAAGTAACGTAAAATTACTGGTTAGATTTCTGCAAATAATATCATTCCTGGTCCAGATGTCCCTTCTTCACAGTGCTCTGTGATGAGCCTATGACCTGCAGGGACTCCACCATCGAAAGAAGTTTAAGACCCTTTGATTCCAGAAGCTTTTTGCCATTCCATCCTTTCATTTTACTGTATAAACTCTCTCTCTCTCTCTCACACACACACACACACACACACACACACCCCACAGATGTTTAAAAATATCCCTGTAAAATGTTTTTGTGTGGGCATCTGTGTTGAGAAATATGATTAGCTTTTCTGATTTCTGATTTGACTTTTGGAGGTGTTGGAGAGCTTGCAGGCCAAGGCCATCCATCTCTCCTTCACACTGGCTTTGGGACCCTGGCCAAGTGTGTGCATAAAATGTCCAGACCATAAAACATGTGGTTGCCCTGAATGAATCTCTACAGAGAGAGCCAGGAGTCTAGGATTCACAAAAACTTTGCAGTCAACTCACGTACTGTTGTTCAAGAAGGCACATAGTGTTTGCAAACCCCAGGCCCCAACACAGACATTCAAGACATGAACTTCTTCTATTTGCTCTAAAATTGGCCTTAATGTCCATCTCCAGCCTCCATTCTCCAGTCCATTGTGGGTAATGTCAATCCCAGCTGGTTCCAGATGATCTCATCAATTTAGAGTCTCTTTAACCAAGTCGGGGGCTTTCTTGCTCCCTCGCCTTCCCAACACGCCTGAGTTCTTGGGGGCTTCTGGAGGGCCATGGCATCATGGGCAGTGGGTCATCTGTTCAATGCCCATGCTGGCGTGGTCTGAGTGTCCCCCAGCGTCCACCACTCCATATCAACGTCATTTGTCCTCCTTTGCACATGTCACTGGTGTCCTCTGAGGTGTCCTCACTCCTGACTCCTCATTCTCTCCCGGTCCTACCCCATCAGCTACCCTTCTATCATGGGAATGGGAAAATTTCTGATCACAGGAGATGCCGCATGCTTATCTCTGTCCTTCCTCGTCTAGCTGTGACATTTCACCATTTCTTCTCTGCTGTGCTTAGGGGACAAGTTACTGAACAAACTTGCCACCTCCCTGGGCCCTATCTGGAAAGCAGGGACTAGATCTTGTCCACTCTCAGAGAGCCCCCAGATTCACCTGGGCTTTCCATGCCTTGTGGTCTGTTTCCTCCCCCAGGGCTCACCAACATCTTTGTCTCTGACCCTTCTCCACCCACCCTAGGCCTTGTTTCACATATTTATCTAGACTCTCATTTCAGGCGGAAGAAGGCCAGCAGTGCTGATTTTGCCTGATGGCATGTTGTTCCCAATCTTTTTATCTCACCAGGACTTCCGGCTTTTCAAAATCTAAGGACTTGACTCTTTTGTTCCAGAGTTCCATTGTGTCAGTCTCCTCTTGAGACAACTTGTGGCCCACGGCCTTTAGAAAAAAAAAACGTATCTGCGAATATATCAAAATATCGTCCCACTGCGGCTTTATTTGGGGAACAGTGGCTGGAGTGAAAAGAGTCGGTATCTGACAGTTCTCATTGTCTCGCTAACATTTCCCGGTTCCTAAGCGGCTGTGAAATCTGCAGACGGAGCCACGTTTGCCAGAGGGTGATGCGCCATTCAAACCTGGCACAGTTGAGCTGGAGCTGAAACTGTGGGAGGAGGGAGGGAGAGAGAATGAGTTTTCGCCCCTCCACACTCGAGGCTGTATCGCCACACCATCTGGAGCCAGAAGGGGAGAATGGGGCTGAATAAATATAAGGTGTAAACGCACAGAGCGTAAACGCATGAAATTGGCAATGACTAATTCATCATTTCACAAATCTGTCTTTACAAAGAGAAATAAAAATCAAGTCAGTTTGAGCAATATGGAAGGAATGCAGCTCTTCCAAGAATAGCTAATGAAAGGGGGGAGGGGAATGAGAAACTGATTGGAAAATATGCAAATTTATGAAATTGGCAGATTCAGCTGACACTTCGGGGTGATTAGTATGCTGATTGGTGTGCTTTGGGGAGTACTAAGGAAACATCATATTGTTTCTTTAAAAAAAAAAAAATAATAGTGAAGCAGAATAAAAGAACCCAGTGCTTCCTTACTGGAGGCCAAGTCTGCAATGTCAGCTGTGCCTTTGTGAATGGTGAGAAGTGCTTTGTGTGATCGCTCTCTACATCATGGAGCTGTCTTAGATGCAAGGTTGGCATAAGCTATTTTATTTACTTACTCATTCAAAAAAGGTTTGAGAGCAAATACTCTATGCCAAGCACTGTGCTGGGTGTTTAGGGCACAGGACGAATCGGGCACATCCTCTGACCTTGAAGACCTCAGTGTCTGGTAAGAGACAGAATGTACGTTAAGTCCACTGGAATAAGCACTACAATATGGGGATTTCAGCCAAGTGATGCTATAGCAGAGCAGAAGGAGAGATGCATTAACATAACAGAATGAGTTGGTGGTGATGGGGGGAAAGGAGGTGGAGAAACTGCATAAAGAAGGCTGACATTTGAGCTGAATTTGAAGGATGCATAGATTTTTTTCCAGATGGAGAAGTAGGCAAAGGGTATTCAAGGCAGAAGTAACAGCATAAGCAAAGGCATAGAGGCATGAATGTATTTAACACAGTTTCTGGAATGACAAGATAACTGGTAAATGGTTCTTTCTGAGCCTGCCCACTGGAGAGTCATCACCGGATGGACTGGTGAGGCAGGATGCTTGGGCAGCTCAAAGCTCAACAGCAAAGGTAATGCAGAAATGCCCATGATGGCAGCAGAGCTTGGGACCTATTGGTAGATTCATCAAATTTTCCAGCTTTCTGGACATCCGGGTTCCTGAAGGATAAAGATGACCATCCTAAATTTTAATTTTTGCACATCTCCTAAAAATCCACAGGCCAACTAGAAGAGAAAACAACAACAACAACAACAACAACAACAACCACAAAAACCACCCCTAGTCTACAACAGCTTAGTTTAACAAGGAGGAAGAGAAGACCACGAACTTCAACTTACACGTGAATCTAGAGGCATGTATTTGAGTTGACAAGAGCTAGAGCCAAATCCTGACCAGTGCAGGGAGAACTATGAGGACTTTGTGGAAGAACAGAGTATGAAGCAGGGGCCTAGCAGTGACAGAACCCACAACACATTAAGAAGGTTCACCCAGAAGGAGAGAGACCTGCCCTCAGTGGGGAAGCACGGAGATTTGGTTTTAAATGTGGTAAGTGAGCAAAAGGGAAGGAGTTGGAAGGAAACAGGACAAGAGGGACAGTCTGTCATGGGAATACTTTTTTTTTTTTTTTTTTGCCTAAGACTATCTGTTTTCATATTGAAGGCCTCATATCCTGGGAACCCCCTCATTCCCAGACTAACTGGGAAGAGTGATCACCCCACTTTTCTGTACAAGAGAAAGAAGAGGTTCAGAAGAAATCAAATCTCAACACAGAGAGGCCCTATATTAAAAAAACTACCCTTCTCACTGTAGAACAGAGAATCTTTGAATTGAGAAACTGGAAAACTCACCCAAACACCTCTTCCTCTACCCCTTTTGCCATAGGAACCACTGTTAATAACTAGTTCAGAAAAATCCAACACACTCAAATATGAAAAACAAAGAAACAAGACTTCAAAGGTTTTGTAAGAAAAATGACAGAAAATGGGAGTAAAAACCTTTCCAGAGGCACAAGAACACCAGAAAAATCTCATGAAGAAGCAGAGGAAAACTGAAGCATAATGTTCTAACCTAAATTTTAAAATAATTATATAAGCAGGGACTCCTGGGTTGCTCAGTCAGTTAAGCATCCGCCTTTGGCTCAGGTCATGCATTATCCCAGGGTCCTTGGATCAAACCTCATGTCAGGCTCCCTGCTCAGCAGGGAGTCTGCTTCTCCCATTCCCTCTGCCCCTCCCCCTGCTTGTGCTCTCTCTCTCTCTCTCTCTCTCTCACAAATAAATAAAATCTTAAAAAAAATAATTACATAAGCAGTTGTAAATATCTATAAAATGACACCACAGAACAGAAATGCAAAAACTCATAGAAATATGTAAAAAGGTAACTGACAAGATAAAATCATTTCAGAAATGCAGACTAAATTTTAAGGTAAAGGAGGGATGATAAATATGCCTCAACACTGTCAAGGGTCCTAGTGTACAGAAGTGAGCAAAGCTTAGAAACTGAATCAGAAATACAGATAAAAAGATCAGAGAGGAGGTTTTGATATAGGAGACATTCAAAGAAGATTCAACATACATAGAACTGGAATTCCAGAAGAAGGGAAACAAAACACTTGGACGTAATATTTAAAACTTTAATTCAAGAACACCATACCGAAATGAAGACCTACCTCTCAATATTGCAAGGGCAGACCATGTACTTGGGGAAAATTGACCAAGAGACGCTAAACCCAAAACATCCTGATACAATTACTAGCTTTTCAATGTAAGGAAAAAGGTATTCTCTGGACCTCCAGTCAAAAAACAAAAACAAAAAAGTTTTCTCTGAAAGTAAGAAAATCAAGTTGTCATTAGTTTTCTCAAGAGCAAGAACGTGGAAGAGTACATCCACAAGACATGTGAAGAGTGGGACACCAGGGTGGCTCAGTTGGTTAACCATCTGATTTTGGCTCAGATCATGAGCTCAGAGTCCTGGGATCGAGCCCCACATTGGGCTCCTTGCTCAGCGGAGAATCTGCTTCTCCCTCTCCCTCTGCCCCTCCCCCTTGCTTGCACTCTCTCTCAAGTGAATAAATAAAAATCTTAAAAAAAAAAAAACACATTGGAAGAGAAAAACTGAGTTAAGGATTTTGAATACAGCTAAACTCCTTCAAGTATCACGGAGAGAGAAAAAAATAGCTTGAATATGCAAGAGCTGGGGGACAACTGTCCCTGTGAACTCTTCTTAAGGAATCTAGAAAACATCAAACTTGACCCAAGCAACTTGGGCAAATGACTGCTGGGAAGCATGAATGTGTTGAGCAGTAGAACTAACACGAAAAGAGCAGGCTGGAGTAAGGGGAGAGGAAGAGCATGCACATGTTAAATACCCTGACATAAGAAAAATAACACAACTTTTAAAATGGGAGAAGGTGGAGGTAAGAGGGAGATTGGGATCCGTTCACTGTTTGCCTTAAAGGTAATAGATGAAAGAATCAAAAAACCTCACTTCAAGCTGACAAACCAAACAGCAGAAGGTTAAGTCTACCTAAGAATGGAAAGGTCAGCGTAAGAAAGATAAGTCTACAGACAGAAAGTGGGTGGTGAAGGAGAGGGGAGGATAGAGGGCGAGCCTGCTGTCTAACACATACTGCTCAGAGTAGAGACATTAGACACTGTCTAAAGGAAGAAGATGATTGCAGGCATCATGTAAAGATCATAATGTAAAGGTAATCCTGGAGGTAAACAGATGCATCTTTCTAAATATTAAAAGAATTACAAAAATAAAATATAAAAAAGCAGAGACCATATATGAAAAGGTTTTAAGATATTTATCTTATAGCCATATATATAAAATAACTAGAACTAGGACCAGACATAGTAATTGTATCCAAACACATAAATGGGCTTCACTTGGATATTCAGTTTTCCCAGCTTCTTTTTTCTCTTCAAGGGTATTGGAACAGGTATTGCTGAGCCCTTGAACTTAAATAAGGTCCGAGGGCACTCTTCAACTTATTGATTGAGGGGGTGCTGGAATGCTGGGGAGGAAAAGGCATTCTATGGAAGACAGGAAGTGATCTGGACCTGGAGCCACAAATCTGTTTTTAATTTAGCTCATGAAATCTGACACACCAGTTAAGGTGAGATTGGGGTCTTTGTTGATTGGGCTCCCCAATTATCAGAAGCCCAGCCCCCTGCTGGCATGTTCCAACCACAAGACAGGTCCCCAAGACCCCACGTCACCAACAGTGTGCACTTGAGTTCAAACATCTTTTGTCCCTGGTGTTCCCCGTCCACTAGATTGTTCCCCACCTAACACTGAGCAAGGACTTGGATTCATCTCTATTCTTTTAAGCACAAATACCAAAAACTCAATTGAAACAAACTTAAGGAAAAAAGAAATTTTATTGGCTCATTTAACTGAAAAGTCTAGGGATAACTCTGACTTTAGCCATGACTGTTTTCTCTTGTGATCCTTTCATTCTTAGACGGACTTTTCCTAAGTGTAGGTGAGGATGACCACCAGCAGCTCCAAATCCAGCATGGGAACAGAGCCCTTTGATCAGATTTCATCAGCTTCATTTGAGTCACATGTGCATGAAAACCAATTGTCATGACTCTCATTGACCAGGCTGGGTCATGTGTCCAACCCCAACCTCCTAATAGGTGAAGTCAGCCTCACTTGAGCCAAATGACCTGAACGTGAAGGAATGGTGATTCTCAGAAGAAAATCTGGGCTGAATGGAGAAGCTGACCTCCATTATATGGTCAGAAGAACTTTGGGGCATCACATCTAAGTCTTAGTTCTGGCTCAGTTGCTAAAAGTCCTATGACCTCTGGCAAATCTCTTAACTTTTCTGAGGCTGAGTGTTTCTTCCCGTTAAAAGTAGCTAATAATATATCTCTTATAGCTATTATTAGTGGGTCTACTGTTCACCCTTATACACCAAATATAAACTCTGCAATCCCAGCATGACTTTGGCCCAGGAAATGATGCTAGCTTAGCTGGGTGGTGGCAGATGAGCAAGCACATGTCCCAACCCCACTGTCTCTATGGTATAAACTCAGTCTACATTGGGATCACTTCTCCCAGCCCATCTGGAGTCATTTTCATTTTTTATATGGCAGGCTGAGGGTGTGAATTCGCCACAGTTCAGCAAGGTGTCAGCATATTTAGCAACATAATGGAACACCTCTCTACAAGCCCACGCTAACAGGGAAATCCTGTGTTGGCAACAATAAGAGTTAATTAAAAGTTTATCACGTTCAGTCAAGCTGATATCCCTTTGGAGAGAATCACCAAAGGTGTTAATTACTTAAATTTTGAAGAGCCAGATTTAATCATTTGTGCAGCAATAATAACTCAACAGGCAGAAGTTAACATTCTGGCTTCCCAAATAAGCTTTGGCAGAGTAGCCATGCTTGTGGTCAGGATCTCTCGTGAATAAGGCCTTCACAGACCTCCTGGCCAAGGGAAACAAACTCCTCCCACCCGGCCAAGGGCAACACGTCTCCCCGCCCTTGTCCAAGACGGGGTTCGGCTTCTGAACGTAACCACTGCTGGCATCAAGACCACCACAGACATGTGCATATGCTTGCAGCTCTTGCTTCCTTAAAATCTGAGGCATTTCTCCTGGGATCAAGCCCCGCGTCGGGCTCCCTGCTCGGCGGGGGAAGCCTGCTTCTCCCTCTCCCACTCCCCCTGCTTGTGTTCCCTCTCTCGCTGTGTCTCCTCTGTCAAATAAATAAATAAATAAAATCTAAAAAAATAAAAAATAAAATAAAATAAAATAAAATAAAATCTGAGACATTTCATAGGCAGAATTTCCCGAACTGGAAAATGAGACCGCTATGGGTTGAATTGTGTCCCGCTCCAAGTTGATAGGCTGAAGTTCTATTCCCCAGTACCTCAGAATTGTAACCTTATTTGAAGATCGGGCTTTCACAGAGGTAATCAAGTTAAAGGCAGGTCATTAGGGTGGGCCCTGATCCAGTGTAACTGGACCCTTATACAAAGGGGAAATTGAGAGACAGATACCTAGCAGAGAGAGCACAGTATGCACATGGAAGACGGTCATCTACAAGCCAAGGAGAGAGACCTGGATCAGATCCTCTCTCACAACCTTCAAAAGGAGCGAAACTTGCCAACACCTTGATATAAGATGTCTAGATTCCAGAACTGTGAGACAAATATCTGTTTAAGCCACCTGATATTTTGTTACAACAGCTCTAGCAAACTCATACAGGGACATATTTACTAAGGTGTAAATAAAAATGGACACATTCTTTTTTTCTTTTTTTAAAGATTTTATTTATTTATTTGAGAGAGAGAGAATGAGAGACAGAGAGCACGAGAGGGAGGAGGGTCAGAGGGAGAAGCAGACTCCCTGCTGAGCAGGGAGCCTGATGTGGGACTCGATCCCGGGACTCCAGGATCATGACCTGAGCCGAAGGCAGTCGCTTAACCAACTGAGCCACCCAGGCGCCCCAAAATGGACACATTCTTGTTCACTGATATTTCTCTAGAAGAAAACATCTAACTGCACCTGGCTGGGCCCCCTAAGGTGGAGGATGAGGGCCCCGGTCCCCCAGGATATTTAAGCCACAAAAGATCTTTCCTTAACTTTTATGAATAAAAAAGGTTAAGAAATTTGTTTTGATCATATATGGAGATAAGAGAAAACACTGGCAGAGAGAGTGGGCAAGTTTCACTTAGGTGAAACCGTTCGAGAATCTCTATACACATCTTCCCTGAGATCTATAGAGATTCTTGAATGGTTCACCTAAGTGGGTTTCCTCTAGACACCAAAGCTGACACTGAGTTTTGTGTCTGAGTTGTTGTAGAACCTGAGGCAGAGAAGTTGTGGGTACATAAGCCCTCCTAAACTGGCAGAAATCTAATGAAAGGGTCTAGTCTGCTTAAAGCCATAGGACGGTGGCTCATGACAATAAGATCTATAGATACGAGGTGCCTGGGTGGCTCAGTCGGTTAAGCGTCTGCCTTGGGCTCAGGTCATGATCCCAGAGTCCTAGGATCGAGCCCTGCGTTGGGCTCCCTGCTTGGTGGGAATCTGCATCTCACTTTCCCTTTCCCTCTGCCTCTGTCTCTGCCCATGCTTGTGCTCTCTCTCTCTCAAATAAATAAATAAAAATCTTTAAAAAAAGAGATACAAGGATGCCTGGCCAACCTGAATTATACTGAGAACAGTAGTGACACCAAAAAAAAAAAAAAAAAAAGCAGATGGAATATAAAACACACATAGGGCACCTGGATGGCTCAGTCAGTTAAGCGACTGCCATCGGCTCACGTCATGATCCTGGAGTCCCAGGATCGAGTCATGCATCAGGGTCCGTGCTCAGCGGGGAGCCTGCTTCTCCCTCTGAACCTCCCCCTCTCATGCTCTCTCTCTCTCAAATAAATAAATAAAATCTTTAAAAAAAATAAAAAAACATACACAAATGTAGTTGCTATCAAATGATTTCCACAGCCTACACACTGGCGTTTCAACAAATCAGGCCTCAGCAGTGCCCCATCATTTGATTGCACAAACAGACTTGACCTCAGAACTTTGTGCTTGGTTTGAAGTGCAGTGGAGGGGAAAATGATGAAGTCTGTATAGATCAGTTTGGATCAGTTTGATTTATAAAAAAAACAGTATGATTATGGTTAGAGCCTGCTAATGTCATTCTGGCAAGGGTAGAAGAGATAAAAAAAAATCATACTGTTTATAAAAAAACAGTATGATTATGGTTAGAGCCTGCTAATGTCATTCTGGCAAGGTTAGAAGAGATAAAACACAGTGTAATAAGATTTTTTGAAGTGGCTCACATTAGAGGAATGTGAATAGACCCTATAGAACCACCATCTTTTTTAAACCATAGTCTAGCAGTTCTATTTGTGTGGTGGGTTTCCCCCTATTCTCTTCCCTCTTATCCTCCCACAGAATGCCCATTGCCAGAATGTCCCATTCCACCAACCGTTGAAGAAGCATAGCTCCTTGCAGGCTCCCCCCATGTCACAGAACAAGGAGCGTCTGTAATCTCAATGCCCTCATCCCACCCCATTAAGACCAATGAGGTTGTGCAAATTGGTAAGCAACTGGAGAAAATTCAAACAGTTGTGTTTCCGTCTTCCTTTTCTTGCTTTCAGTCAGTAACTTGCCCAGATAAACTAAAGCCTACAAATGAGGACTGAGTCCCCTTGCTGGAATCTTTCAGTCTTGAGTTTGTGTTGCTTGTCAGTCACCTGCCACATGAAGAAGGCTGAGTCTTGGGGAATGAAAGAAACTGCGTTTGCTGGGAAATAAGACAAGGATGTGTAGGAAATCCCTTAGAGAAGATCCTCGGAAATGGAGATGAAGTCAAGAAAAGGAGGTCTAAATGAATCTAAATATACTCTAAAATGAACAGAAAGAAGACAAAAACTGAGGAGTGAGTCATTTCTAAAACTGAGATCCTGGGGCGCCTGGGTGGCTTAGTCGGTTAAGCATCTGCCTTTGGCTCAGGTCGTGATCCCAGGGTCCTGGGATTGAGCCCTGCATCGGGCTTCCTGCTCAGTGAAGAGCCTGCTTCTCCCTCTGCCTGCCACTCTGACTATCTGTGCACTCTATCTCTCTGTCAAATAAATAAATAAAATCTTTAAATAAATAAATAAATAAATAAATAAATAAATAAATAAATAAATAAAACTGGGATCCTTTAGGGGTGCCTCGGTAGTGCAGCTGGTTAAGCATCCCACTCTTGGTTGCGGCTCAGGTCCTGATCTCAGGGTCCTGCTGAGATGGAGTCCCGTGGTGGGCTCTGCGCTCAGTGGGGAGTCTGCTTGAGGTTCTCTCTCCCTCTCTCCCTCTGCCCCTACCCACCACATGTGTGTGCTCTGTCTCTCTCTCAACTAAATAAATACATCTTAAAAAAAAAAAAAAGCCCAAAAAGCAACTGAGATCCTTTAGCACATACCCCTAACGGTTCTTTCAGTAGAGTTGTTGAGTAATAGGCCCTGTTAAGTCCCTTCTCGAACATCATCCCAAGCACATGCCACAGCACCACAGGGGCAATTGGCTTCTCATTTCACAGACAAGGCGACTAAGGTGAAGAAAGGTGCCCAGAGTCCCACAGCTAGAGAGAGAGAGAGAGACAGAAGGCAAGGAATGCCATCTCAGACTCTGGTGCCAGGTCTCTGCTTCCTTTCATGATGTTTCTATCAGCCCAGTATTGGATTAGTTTCCCAGGGCTGCCGTATTTACAGAGTACCATACACCGAGGGACTTAAAACAATGGAAATTCATTCTTTCCCAGTTCTGGAGGCCAGAAGCCAGAAATCTAAGTGTCACCTGGGTCATGCTCCTTCCTCAACTCTATGTGGAATCCTTCCTTCCCTCTTCCTAGCTTCTGGCACTGGCTGGCAATCTTGGGCATGTCTGGGATGGCCAGCTGCATCACTTTAATCTCTGCCTCTGCCATCACATGGCAGTATCCTCCTGTGACCTCACATCCTCTTCTTACAAGGACACCATCATATTGGATTAGGGAACCACCTTACTCCAGTATGACCTCATCTTAACTGATGATATCTACATGACCCTATTTCCAAATCAGGTCACATTCTGAGGTACTGGAGGTTAGGATTTCAACATATCTTTTGGGGGACACAATTCAATCCCTAACAGTTCTCTTTCCTTTGCAAAGGACAGAAACTCAACTCAGACAGACTTAAGCCAAAATTAATTTGGTTGGCTCATGTGACCAATGAGTCTAGGGTTGAAACCTGGCCAGAAACACATGGGTCTAAATGTTCAAGTGGTATTGTGAGAGCTCTGCCTTCCTCTCCCTCCCTTTCTTTTTAGTATGTTTCTTGTGCGATCCCTGTTTCTTCTAGGGATGTTATCCTGATATGGTGGCCCCAAGCAATCCCATACTTACATTCTGTTTCTGCTATTTAAAAACACTTCTCTTTCTGAGTAGATACAACAGGATCCCAGAATGAAGCCTCACTGGCAGGCTTGGGGCATGTGCCCATTTGGAAGAAATCACTGGTACAGCCCAGAGAGGGATGGTGTGGGTCCCCAAGGAAAATTATTACTACTCATAAAGAACAACTTAACAGACAATTTTAGAGCATAATTTGTATTATGAGTTTATGCACAACATTCCTGAGAACCCAGTGGAGCCAGCTTTCTTGGAATTGTTCATCTGAATAGAGCTCCAGATGATTTTGTGTGTGAGCAATCTCCCAGGCATCAAGGCTGGGTCTATTTACCAAGATCCAGGCAAAGCTTTCTTATTAGTCACCTGTTCCCTTATTTCTATGGCAACTGTGAGATGGGAGGCTTGTTTCTATGTGGGCCGTGCTGTTTTTATCCGGCACCACTTTGGAGCTATTCAGCTAAGGTTGAATTTGGGCTGCAGCTAAATTCATGAGGTGAGTAGGAAATTCAGGACCAGCAAAATCACAGTAGGAGGGGAAAATACCAGTTCACTTCAGTTTCAATCTCTCGGTGCCTCTCAAGCTAGAGGAAAGAAGAGCATTTCTCTACTGTCAGTTCCTCAATTTTCTGAGACTCACAGATAGCTGAGAATTAAAGAAAGTAAGATATAGGGAAAACAACCCTAGCCTTAGAAGTATCTCTCAGGAACTCTTGAGAAATAGCTGGGGAAGTGGTTTTGGAGTCAGATGTAACAAAAATAATGTCCATTTTACGTGCATTCATGTGCCAAGCACTGTGCTAAGGAATTATGTATTAGTTAGCCAGAGCTGTCTAACAAATTACTCCAAAACATAATAACTTAAAATAACACAATTTATTATGTCAGTTTCTGTCAGTCAGGAATCTGGACATGGTTTAACAGGGGCGTTTTCTTCAGGTCTCTCACAAGATGCAATCAAGGTGTCCTCCAGGGCTGTAGATATCTAAAGCCTCAAGTAGGGTTGGATCTGCCACTAAGCTCACTCACATAGTTGTTGACAGGATTCAGTCCCTCATGGGTTGTTAGACTGAGGGCCTCAGTTCTTCACTGGCTATTGACTGGAGGTCACCCTTAGTTCCTTGACATGGGGGTTCCACATGATACTTGTTTCATCAGTTGAAGCATGAGGGAAGAGCCAGGAAGAAGAAGAAGAAGGAGAAGAAGAAGAAGAAAAGAAGAAGAAGAAGAAGAAGAAGAAGAAGAAGAAGAAGAAGAAGAAGAAGAAGAAGAAGAAGAAGGAGGAGGAGGAGAGGGAGAAGAAGAAGAAGAAGAAGAAGAAGAAGAAGAAGAAGAAGAAGAAGAAGAAGAAGAAGAAGAAGGAGGAGGAGGAGGAGGAGGAGGAAGGAGAAGAAGAAGGAAGGGAGGGGAAGGAGGAGAATGAGAAGGAGAAGAAGAAAGTGAGCAAGTGCAAAACGGAAGTCACAATCTTGTATAGTCTTATTTTAGAAGTGGCATTCCATCATTATTGCTATGTTCTAGTCATCAGAAGCAAGCCAGTAGGTCCATCCCACACTCAATGGGAAGGGATTACACCAGAGTGTGACTATCAAGAGGTGGGACTCATGGGAGTCAATTCAGAAATGCCTCCCACACCTAGGCATACATTATAGAGTGTCAGCACTCCACAACATCCTCTAGTACCCATGTTCCCACAGTCCATATCCATCTCACTTCCCAGACAAATCGAAGTGTAGAAATAAGCCTTTCTCTGGGCCATGACAATGAATCCCCCTCATACCAAACATCAGTAGGAATGGAAAAGGAATCTGTATTTTTTCTCTGTGAAAGGACATCCCCAGGGAACTCATGGCCCCTTTCTCCACCCTTTATTCTCTCCTCCAGTTGGAAAGTTGCGGAGATGGTGCTGGCTCAGACCTCTCCCCTCTCTCTCCTTCACATCTGCCTGACTTCAGGAAGAGAGTATTTTGGTTTACTTGTTTGGCTATCTTAGCAGAGCTCTGCCTGAAGGTTGGGCAAGTAAATTCAACTCAGGGGAGCTTTAACAAACCATTTGTCACACCTAAGCCAAGTTCTCTGGCACAGCTTTTACAGTAATAATGTAGCACTTTGATCTCCATCTCTCTGATTCCTGATTCTGTCTCAGTAAGTGCAGGAGGTACAAAGACGATGGCTCAAAATTCCAAAGATCTCTTCTTCCTTGCTTTCTTACCTTCTACTTTATATAGCCAGGGAGGTGTAGGATAGGCTTGGGGTGGTTTGGTGGTGCCAATTCTGTCCTTCTTAGCAATCCCTCGAGAGCAGTCTAACCTTGGACATCTGAGGGCCCCAGTCAGTTGACCTTGTGTAACTGCCTTCCTGGACCCCAAGCTCTGAGATGGCAGGGAACCTGTCCACTAGACTTCTGTGCCACAGGGCATGAAAGAGATGCCAGTGTGTATTGTTGAATGAATAAATGAGGGCACTTAGTGGCTTTATGGTGGAGAGAAATCAAAAGAAAACAGGCTGAGATGGATCCAAGGAAAGGGAACTCATAAGTATCCATCATCTGTCAGAGATGTTGACAAAGAATGGAAAAGCAAGTTCTAACAACACACAGCAGAAGGCAGGGATGGAGGAGAAAGGAGGCTTCATTTTTATATCCCCACCAGATCCACCAATATCTTAGAAAATGGTACATGACATTTATTATTTTACTTAATTCTTGCAGCCTCCCTCTGAAGGCAGGTATTATTCACCCATTGTGCCATGTGAAAGTGAGCTCAAGAAGCAAAGTGGCTGCCCAAGGTCACGCAGATGGTGGCTCTGGTGTTCAAACTCACAGACCTTTGATGGCTCCAAGATGCTGCCATCAGCAAGAATCACCGAAGTCGCTGAACTTACAAAGAAGACTCATCCTGGCAGCTCTCTGCAGTTCTTCTAGGAGGCCAGACAAGGCCAGGGCAGCTGTGCCAGAAAATATCTCTGCCTCAAGGTTTGAAGATCTGGGAGTTCTCTGACCTCAGACCTTCAGAGCCTCTGAAATGACTTAAAGAGACAGTTACAAGCTTCTCCAGCAGGGAGAAGATGTTTCCTGGGAACTCTTTTTTCTTTTTAATCTTACATCCTAGTTGGCTGTCTCCTAGCTCCCACCACTGCCACTAGGTTTTTTCTCCCAAGATAGGCTTAGGAATGGCAGAAAGGCGGTGATTATCAAAGCAAAAGTGATAGGTACAGGGAAATCGCTGTTAGTTTCTCCACTTTTAGTCTCTCCACTTCTGCGTACGTGTGAGTATTTGCATGAGCTGAGGTTCTATAGCAAGGTGGATTTGTGACCTGTGATAGACGACAGCATGGCTATCTGATTCTCATGTGTGGCAGAAATAGTTTTAGGTCAAGAATCAGCAACCTACAGCCTGCCTCCTTTTTTTTCAAAGTTTTATTAGAGCACAGCCAACTCTTTCATTATATATCTCCGTGGCTTCAAATTGGGCTTCAAAGTAGGTGAGTAGCTGTGATAGAGACCCACATGCCCTACCCATCCTATGATAGTTACTATTTGGTCCTTTTTTATTTTTTAACGATTTTATTTTTATGTAATCTCTACATACAACGTGAGGCCCAACCATCAAGAGTCAACCCTGAGATCAAGAGTCACACACTCCACCAAATGAGCCAGCCAGGTGCCCCTCCTATCTGGTCCTCTAAAAGAATGTTTGCCACCTCCTGGTTTTGATCAATGTTGATGATGATGATGATGATGAAGAAGAAGAGAATGAAGATGATGAATATGATGGTGATTGTGATGATAATGATGATGAGGGTAGTGATGATCATGATGTCACGCTGATGATGATGGTAATGTTGATGGTGGTGGGGGTGATGATGATGATGGTGATGATGATGGTAATGTTGATGAGGGTGGTGGTGGTGATGATGATGATGGTGATGATGATGATGGTAATGTTGATGGTAA